TACAGCAGCCCTGTTTCAAAAACAACTAAAGCTGCGTTTCCACCGCAGGATCTATATCCCGGAAGTAGGAACCTTTGGGGGAACCAACTGCGTTTCCACAGGAACCAGGTTCTAAATTAAGTTTCAGTGTCCTTCTTTTACCCCCCAAACAGTCCCTGCTGAGGGGGTAGTAGAGTGTTTGCAAACCAATTGATCACAATCAACAGTCAAATAGCACACACAAGTCTTGCCGATGTCAACCTGAGACTGTTTGTTGGTATTATATTTATATTATATTTTCGGAAATAGCAGCCGGCCAGCAGCAGTGTGTTTGCAGCTAACAGCTGATGGAGTTAATCCAAGTACTAGTTTACATTTTCATCAGTCAAGAGGTTACTACATGGAGCCGAAGTCGGTCTCCTCTTCTCCAAAACAAATGGACCAGCTGATTACAACAGGTAATACAGTGTGTTAGAAATTCAGGCCAATACAGATGTGGATGATTCCAGCTGATCTACAGCTCTTGTCGCCTGGAAATTTTTTAACGACCTTCAAAAGTGTTGTGATTTTATGTTTGTGTTTCTTTCTCTGTGCTGGAGTAATTTTAAAAACTTGATGGCTTTATCCAGTTTGTCATTAAATTTGTAATAAACATTAAGCATTACTAAAGAAAATCTGTAATATTATACCCGTTACAATTTTAACCTGAAATTAAGTGGTGTTTTGTTTTTTTTAATAATTCACCAACACGGAGAAAAATTTTGGCACCAGAAAAACAAATGCATGAGTAAAAGAATAACGTTATTTCCTGTTGCAGGAATCCGATGATCGAGATTGTAGGCAGGCACTAACTAACAAGACAGTAGCTCATAAATAAATAGATTTATATAGGCTATGTGTTTGTGCTTTAACAAATTACTTTGTTGATTAGATAGGCTGCTGTCAGTTCTTCCTGACCGATCCTGTCGGAGTGTCGGGAGATTCAATTAATCAATGACGTTATGCTGCTGTACCTCGTGCATAAATGCGCACAGCGTCGTTATTAATAGGGAGATATTCAACCTATTTTACCCCTCCCTCGCTATTAATCAGAAGGTTAATTTTTTGACAGAGACCCACCCAATCCACCTGATATAACTCTGCACATCATTACAACCCACCTATGCAGCACATTTTATTTTACAGTAATATTGTAATATAACTAATTACTCTCAAATGACAACACGCTGCCCAACACTGCTAAATAAAGATGTCTATCGGTTTGTATGGGGTAAGCCTATTTGTCAGCTGGTTAATTTGCCTAATCTAACACAACAATGGGCTGAAGGAACCTTTTATTTCTAGATCTTGGACTATTTTTGGTGAAAACTCGGCTTAAAGGAGTGAGGCAGGCAAAAAACAAATGCAATTTCAAATCCAAACTATAATAACTAAAATGCACTAAATAGAATAAGTGACAATAAATAATATAAATAGACCATAATGTTAATTATCTTCAAAATATTTTGAATATACACTGTACAATGATAGTCACAGAAACGTACTGTATAGTACTGCGAGTCAAGTAGATCATGTCACATGCTGTAGGCCTACTGCAAGATACATGATTGTCCTTGGAGAATAGAAAAAAACTGAACAGAGGTCTGTTTTTTAACAACATCTCAGCTGTGTTTTCTAGGGCTGCAACTAACAATTATTGTCATTATTGAATAATCTGATTAAATGATCAATTATCGGATTACATTTTTTCTTTACTAAATGTCAGAAAATGGTGCAAAACCCATTATAATGTCCCATAACCAGAGGAGATGCAGAAGTCCAAGCCAAAGATGTTCAGTTTACCATGACAAAGAAAAGCAGCAAATCATTATATTTGAGTAGCTGCAGCCAGTGAAACAATCGGATTTTTGCTTGAAAAAAACTGACTAAAAAAATCGATTATTAAAGTAGTGGCATTTAAATCAGATCCACTAATCGATCAACTGACTAACCATTTCAGCTTTAATTTCTACTGTCTCAGTTTGTACTAATTCTTCTTTTCATCCGCTCTCACTTTCCCCTGCTCTCTTCTTCTCCCATCAGGCACTCTGGCTCCTTGCAGTCAGAGCAGCAGCAGCCATCTTCGCAGTGGCATCTCCGTCATTCTGCAGATCCTCAATGACCTTCTCAGGGCTGCCTACCGCCACCAGGGGGCTCGACCCACCCTTCCTCATCTGCACTGTCCTGCTCCAAACCCTTCGGTCAGCTGCCCCCTCACAGCAGAGGAGCAAAGTAAAGCAAAAAGCAAAACACTGGTGACCCAGAGGCCTGAGCAGCTCAGTAAAACTCCAGGTGAGCTTCACCCACTGTATTGTTGTAAACAGTTAATATATAATATAATACACTTGAACACTGGAGGAGGTACTGAAAATTGCATTCATAATACATTCATTATGCAAATATATATTTAAGTTGGCTTACGTGACACTGAATGACCAATGTAATCCAATGACTTTTGGTGTTGTGATAAAAGGCCATGTTTAGTCACACACCACTGGGGGAAGTGTGAAGGCATTAACCTCTTTTACTTTCTCTTTTGCTTTCTCTTCATTCTCAGTTTTTCTGTTACGTTGTAGACTTTTTGACCTGCAATTGTGATACATTTAAGTGTTTATGACAGCATGACACCAAGCAAACGCTTTATTTTTGTGCAGCATGTCTAACATGTGTTTTTTATTTCCCTCTACTGTAGGCGAGGAGACTTGCTCCCTCCACACATCCACACAGGAGAATCGAGCGTTGCACTGTAAGCTAGAGCGCCTGCAGTTTTTGATGCATCAGAGGCGCCTTCGCAGGCGGACTCGCAGGAACTCGCACCTCTCACCTACGTCTCACCCGTACCAGTATCGCCCCTAGTCTCCCAGACAGAACTACCCACTGTGATGGCAGTATCAGCTTTCTGATGAGCAAGGGCGCCTCCCTCGATGACTAGAAGGAACCATCATGGAAACCAGAGCCTGACCCCTGACCTTGTGGAATGGGTGAAGTGCACTCTGGGCCACTTAAGGTTTCGGAGTGGGAGATGTTTGTTGCTATTTTTACACTGTGAGCATTTCTGAAGAATGTAAGCTCAAAAGATCCAAGGAGTATGACTCCTGTGGCGGCCACTGCACTGTTGCTTCATCCGAGTACGTCCTTCAGTGACAAAGGCTCTCGTTGTTATGTAGCATAATGTCACAATGGTTCCAATATATGTTTTCATGTTAAACATCTTGGTGTTTTGTACAAAGATCTCTTTCTGTATGTTTTTTTATGTATTCCAATGCCTTAACCGTACATGTCTTGAATGTAAACTGTGTTCTTTTGTTCTGTGCAGAGGGTGTTCCTCTAAAATGTTTTACTTATGCAATATTAAAATGTAAACACAAGGAAGGGGGGTGCCAAGAATAAAGGATACAATTGGAAAAACATAAGACATATTTGTGTGTCAAGTCCTTTTTAGATACGTAACATTGCTGCCTTCGTTTATCACACAATTGTTTTATCTTAAAGTGTAAGCATGTGAACAGAAAGGGTGAAAAACCAGGCAGGTTAGGGTGGGGGTTACTAAGCTTTCTTCTCACCTGCCCCACTGTGAAGGCCTAGGTGTGATTGCCCAAGTGGTTCTATTGGGAGAGCTGGTGTGGGGGATGAACAAGCCAATTTAGTGTTGCAGGGGGGAGGACAGGTATGGTGTCGGTGGAGAGAATCCGTTGGGGAGGGGGGCAGTAAAACAGGCTGGCTGAGGCGAGCAGATGGTCAAAGAACTGGGGGAGGGGTGGCCACCCCTCCCCCAGTTCTTCCACCAGTCTCCTTGTGGCTATTGATACTCATCATGCTACTTCACACATTTTTCACATTGTTATGCAGGAGTTCTTGTTCCAGCTTCCTTGTAGCTGTCCTTGCCCTGCTTAATGCTCACCTTAAATTCTTGGTTTCACCCCCTCCCTGTCCCCAACTCTGATGTCTCTTTTAATGCAGGCCATGAGCTCATCAGTCCTCTCCATGTTAGTTACAAAGCAAATCCCAGTCTGTTGTTTTGAAAGCAGCCCTGCACAGCCTCATGCGGGCTCCTTTAACTGTCTTCTCACAGTCCTAGTAGTCGCAGGCTGCCACTGGAGTAGAGGCCTATACAGGGGCAAAAGGTAGATCAGGTTGTGATCTACCTGTGATCTCAGAGAGTGGGTAAGACTGTGGGGCTGAATGCCTCTTTAAATACAGCCAGGAATCAAAAGAGTTCAATGAAGCACTCACAAAATTGGGAAAGAATATCATAATTGTTTTGTCAACCTGGATAGAGAGCGGCTGTAATACAGCTTTTTTAATAAAATAACTATTACATTGTAGTATGATACTGAAAGTTGTACAAATTGTTTTCATGAAGTATAGTATATATAAGAATTAAAATTGAGTTTGATACAAAACTGTAGGTAATTAGCACATAGGCAACACAGGGAGTGGACATTTTAAAACTGCACTAGGAGACAGTTTGTGTCCAGTAGTTTCACTTTTGTAAAGAAGAATGTTTGCATAGACTATTTACTTCTTCTTTAAGAAGCCATTATACATTATTATAGGCTACAAATCAGAGTATATAAAAAAAAAGGTTGTTTATTTGTCATTATACAACACAAGGTTGTACAACTAAACGAAATGTGTAGTTGTTTCATGCTACACACACAGAACATAACATATAATTAAGGGTAGCCTATATTCAAATATGGCAACATATAAAATAAATCAATAAATAGGCTATAGTTATTTATACACATATACTTATACACCCAGAATATTCCGCAGTGCATTTCTTTTTGCGCCTGGGGAGAATGTAAACAGCAGCAACAAGATGATAACATGGTTTCATCCTGACAATAAAAAGTGAGAAACAGTTTCCATCTTGACTGTGCTTCAGCACTTGGCATGCCAAAATATAAAGCAACACGACATGAAGTTTCGCTCTCCGGGGCAGCAGGTGGCGCTGTGGACCCGCCATTTTTGTTTATGACCCGCCAATAATGCAAAAGAAGAAGACGTCATCGTTCAGAGCAGTGAAAAGCGGAGCGCGCTGGTTTTCCTCTCTCATTCGGTCTGCAGCCCCGCGTCTCAACTAGTTGATACCAGCCAGTGAAAAGGTAATGACCATTTCAGGATTGTTTTTTTTAAATGTGTTTTCACGGTAATTTTACCTTTAGTGTGTAGTCGACATGTTTACATAAATCTGCTGTTCCTAAAGCATTATTTTAGCTTTTGGCCTGTTAATAAATATACAATAGTTTAAAGATTTTAACGTTACTCAGGCTTTTAAATTCATAGGGATGAAAACCAGACGGTTGGTGCTAAAAGGGTTTGCATTGTTGCTGTATTTTATTTTGGGAAACTGTACCTGAAGGAACATTTGTTACAGTATTTTATTCGATTATTTGAACAGTTATGTAACCCAGAAAACAAGGCGTCGAGCCGCATCTGAAGCTAACCGCTAGGTCGGTGAAACAAAAGGGAGCCCCATGAGCTCGGTGCTACAAAATGGCGCTGGAAGGAAAAAGCTAGCTAGCTAATCCGCTAATTTAATGGTACCACGTTTACGGGCCTGAAGCCTAACGCTAGCTCGGCTTGCCTCTAGCTGTAGCGGCGATTAATTTTAACGAGTTCAATGCGGGTTTTTTTCTAGCTAAAGTCGGAATTAATGAATCGTTAAACACCAGCAGAATAAACTTAAGTACCAAATACGCATATAATGGCCATTTCGTGTCACGGGATCGCTGACCTATTTTCGTACTGCGTGAGCAGACGGTATTTGCCGATGTTTTTAAAGCAATGGGACTTTAATTTATATTGTGTGCACTTGCTTTGGGTGATTGTGTCGTATTTCTCCTAGATATACCGAAAATGTCGGACGAAGGTAAATTGTTCATCGGAGGGCTGAGCTTCGAGACCAGCGAAGACACACTGGCTTCGGCCTTTGGAAAATACGGAACCATTGAAAAAGGTTAATCCTCTTTAAGCCTTTCACTGCTTTTGCGGTTTAAAATCATTGCTGTACCCACATTAAACTTTATTTAAACCATTGTTTGAAAATACTTAAATGTGCTAAATAAATGTGACTATTTCCTCCATTAGTGGACGTGATCAGAGACAAAGAGACGGGAAGATCTCGCGGTTTCGGCTTTGTGAAGTACGATAATGCAGAAGATGCCAAAGATGCATTGAACGCCATGAACGGCAAGGTAAATGGACACTACAGCATTAACCTTTTTTTTTTTTTTTTTAAAAATACGTTTTTGTAACTTATTTGAAACATTTTTACTACTTTTTGCACATTTTAAAAAAGTCAGTTTTAAGCCACTTGGAATCTGGGAAAAATGAATTAAATTTGCATTAACTTGTGTTGCAGAGTCTAGATGGGCGGGTTATTCGCGTGGATGAAGCAGGCAAGGGCGGACGTTCCAGAGGAAGTTTCGGCTCAGGACCACGGGGTGGAAGATTCAGCGGATCCAGGGGAAGAGGTGGGAGAGGTTATGCCAGAGGTGAGAACTGGCTTAGGACTGTTTGCTGTTTACAACCATTTTACTCACCTTGGTGATGAATGTACTCGTGTCTGTAAGGTGGTGGATACAACGGAGACAGGGGATATGGTGAAAGGAGTTATGGCGACAGGAGCTTCGGAAGTAGCGACAGGAGCTTCGGAAGCGGCGGCTACAGGAGTGGTGGTGGCGGAGGAGGATACTCATCAGGCGGTGGATACAGAGAAAATAGGTAAGTGTTTTAAATGACTGAGAATTAAATTTTTTACTTGCCTAAGCCTATGAAATAATTCTTGTTTACTTAATTTCCAGGGGTCAGGGTTCATATGGTGACCGCTCTGGAACCTACCGCGATGGATACGATGGCTATGGTAAGCATCAATGATGTTTGTACTGTGTATGTTGCATTATGTTGGGGCTGTCATTTTCAAATGCCACCAAATTAACCCACATTTAGACACTGAACTTGATGGTTATATTTCAGTATTTAACATTACACGCGTTGTGATTTTTCAAAACATTTTATATGCTGTTAGAATGAGTGTCATCGAATCTCACTAGGCGCCATGTACATTAAAGACAATTTCACAGCCCCAACATATGAAGTTTTGTATCATGTATGCCCCTCAGTTTTGTACCTGAGCCCACGTTGACTCCACTCTGTAAGCGGTTGCCAAATTCTGCTAGTCCCCCAGTCCCACTCTGATAACGAGGCTGGTGATGAACAATGAAACACTGTTATTCTTACTGCTCATATCTAAGCTGATGGAGCCCCTTAGGCAAAAACTGAGGGAGGGTTTTTGGACTGTCTGGTGGGTTGAAGGGGATGTTGTGAAACTCCAGTGTTGGAACTTTCAGTGTCTTTACCTGTGTGCCCACTTCCTATCCTCAGCTGCACACGAGTAAACATCTCCCTGATTCAAGATCATCACTTGGCTGGCTGTATTTCAAAGATGCGCTCCTCAAGAAATGTCCACGTGTTATTGCTGACCTTAGTTTGTAGTTCTGTTGTAGTAGCTCAAGCATCTTTAAAAAAAAAAAATGTAGCCTTTCCTTAACAAACCATGTTACAAATTACAGTTCAAGACTCTTACCATGCTTGATTGGGCATCTTTATTCCTCAAAGGTCGTTTGTTAACTAAAAGGCATTTGTGTAATCTGATTAGTACTTAAGTCCCGATTTGGGGATCAAACGACAGCTCTCCACATGGCTTTTCGTTGGAACAGACACTACCATTTGCGGTAGACCTCTTTTTGTCCAGCACGTTAAAGTGTTTCCTGATTATTTTTTTTTGATTCCTTAAGTTTTTTTTATATTGAAATATCCGATGGGGCTTGTGTTTGTTTTTTTGTTTGTTTCCTACTTATTTCCCCTTCAGTCTGACTGACTGACCTCTTGCCAGGTTTAAACTGAGTGAGGAAAGATCAATTACTCTAAATAGGCTTTTGGGGGATTTTATGCTAAATTCCTTTTACTATTAAAAAAAACTTAGTTACGCTGAGGCTCCTGTGTGTTCAATTTCCCAAAAGAGTGAATTCCTTTCAGACTGGTGAACTACACATCCGAAGTGGCCGGCTGTTCATGAAGTCTGTCCAAGGTATCTTCTGTGCTCTGCTCAACATCTGCATTTTAAATGTGCTGTAAAATGGACTAATCTTGTTTAAGTGATTGAAAAAATGTAACTTCGTTTCCCCAAAGTAATATCTCAACCGGGAACAGTTTTGTACTTTATGTTCTTTGTATGATCAACTTTTTTCTTTGTCAGTTTGGCTTCATGGAGCCTATTAAACAGACTGTGGAAAATAATCTTGATTCTTTTGCCTTTCAAAACTCGCATGGGGTAGTTAATTGCTGCGTTGAACAAAGTCACCTGCTCGAAGCGCTTAAAGTACACATGGATTTCTTTAGTGGGCAGTCATAAATTGGCAGTTTAGCTGGTCTTGAAAAAGTGTAGAGGGATAAGCAGTAATTGGGTGTTTTTTTTTTTTTTTTAGAAAGTCCACTAATTTGAAAGCTTAACCTGTCTGGGTTCCTAAAGAGTTCATAACTAAAAATGGTTTTTGGCCCAGTTACCACTGTACCGGTCTGAAAACCATTGATTAGCCAAATGTGTTACTACTTCAGTGATTTGAGATCAAACTTAAAGTGAGGGTCGACTTAGCCCTAAAGTAGCACATGGAAATGCTGGGAAAACATCAGCTGGTGTCTGGTCATGTTAATGCTTCATTACATTCAAGAGGTCAGCTACTTCAAAAACCTACAAGTCCTTGGAGAGTGAAGTGTTGCGCCTACCAACAAGTGCTCATCAGAGATGAAAGCTGCTCTCTTGCCTAGGTCAAATGTGGAGAAAGTAGGCCAATGCACGTGAGGTAAAAATCTCCTTTTGCTTTGCTCACATCCTTCAAACTCAGTTCTCATTGTTTCCATGAATACCTTCAAGTTAGACGTTTTTAGTCCTCTGCTTCAGATGTCGACTACAACATGCCACGGCCTCTCCCCTGATTCATAAAGTCCATTCAGAAAATGTTTCTAAGATGCTCCTCTGGATTGTAGTGCTCCACCTCCTGAATCCACCAAAAAAAGCATTGGCCTCTAAGTCGTGGGTAGTATGTGCTCAGTCCACTTCTGTTCACTGCATTAGTCCACAAATTTGCTCCAGTAATGTCCCACAACAGTCCTAATTGATGCACAAGGTGTCTAGACTGTATTCAGTTTTCTTTGTACACTTAAGTGGTGAGTTTCAGACTCATGAATAGGGTTGCATGCGTTTTGTGACTTTTTTCTCATGTCAAATGTTAGTTACCGAGCTTAATCAATCTCTTAATCTCTTTCTTTAGAATAAACTGACTGTTGGAGGCTTCTGAATCTTCTCTGGACTGTCCTCACTAAAGTGTGCAGCTTTAGATGGCAGTGACTTGATGCAGTTATCAGGTAAAATCTCTAATGTAAAAGAATTGAGCCATCTTTCTGCTTCTGGCAGAGTTAAATTTCCCTGGCTGATCAAAATCTTACTGCTGTTTCAGGTCCAACTTGCATCTGTAAGCAGTGGCTAGATGGGAGGATCCTGCCAACTACAAGTTCAAGGTCTCTGAATATAGCATTGACTTGCCTGAGACATTTTCCAAGTGTAATGGCTGTAATGCAAAGTCTGACCTAAGAAAGCAGGTGCGATGACTGTGTACTCTAGTGACTTAATTTGAGTTCACATTTTCTGAATGAAGTCCCTTTCAAGCAATGGTCATTTACACTGAAATTACGGTTTAATTGTAACTGACACTTGAGCGATGTTTGCTTTTTTGTATTGGAAATTCAATAAAATTGGGGGAGGAACCAACTCTAAACTGCTAATTCTGTTTTCTTTAACACAGTACTTGAGAAATTTTACTTGGGTGGCTTACATTTAAACTCTATTATTTAGTGGGCTCCAGTTATGGAGATAAGTTGTTAGATGATGTGAGATGCACCCAAAACACAGGGATACTTCCATATTGTCAGATTAGACTTGTTACAGTTCAGTAACAGGTAATTGAGATCAAAGCTTCAAGTCAGATACAGAAAGGGTGACTACAGCTTACTTTTCACCACTGCAGTTGAAGTGCCAACCTTTGAGTTCCAGGTCCCTTAAATCTCTGAAACCTGTTTATCACCAAGCTTTCACTAAGGCAGTTGAGGATTAGTTAAATGACGTATGGCCCAGGTAATGTGCATGGGATCAGCTGAAATTCAAACCATTGTGCTCAAGTTATTCTGTTTGTCAAAATGGTCTTAGTTCAAGCTGGTCAATTTAAAGGATAAGCTAAGTATCTTAACTCAACTGGTTATAGACCTTGGCAAAACCAAAAGAGCCTGTGTTCAATTTGTGATATGGGGGTGAAAGATAAGTGATGCAATATAAAAATTTATACATTTCAGTGTGACATACAATGATATTGTCATCATACCGGATGTATTTGTGTAAGCAGCGTTTTAATGTTGCTGGTCAAGGTCCAGATCATTTTAAACCTTTAGTTTAATAATGCACCATAGCTTGTGCCGTACTTCCACTGTTCGTCCCACCATTGGACATGATCTTACCTGAGAGGTTTATGCTGTGAAATTCATACCAAACCAAAAATGACAAGTGATAAACGGATGATGAGGTACAGAAAAAGAGATACTTTTATTATTGAACATTTACAAGCTGAATTGAGCGAGGGCTCAGCAGCCTGTGATACTGGCTGTGGATTGTGTTGGAGCTCAGGACACTTGAGTCTTGGTGGTGCTTACACGTACCACAAGAAGCCAAAACGCTTGTGCAAAAGCTCTTCACGGGGCCGGAGGTTGAAAAGCTCCTCTGACAGAGGGGGGACCCAGCGGTCTGTGTGGAAGACGCTCTCACCAACCTGCACGAGTGTTGAAGAGAGACCGATGTTAACCAGCATCTGGATCTAATGACATTACTCCCCCCAAAAACTAAAATTCAGTAGAAAGTTGCTGCTGCTAGGATGTTTACTTACAGCATGAGGATTGCATGTATTATTGTCAAACTGCCAGGCAGTTTCAGTATGTGATTGTTTTATATAGTTATAATATTGATTCATGGACAACAGGAGTACTTCAGAAATGTTACTAGAGATTATCATTTTACATATATTTGATTTCTGTCTTGTTTATTTAATAGCCTGTTTTTCAATATCTGTTGCGAATATTCACAGGTAAACTAAAATGAATTGCTGCAATTTATCTTCCATACATTGTTCTATACCAATAAAGCTTATTACTGTTAACACAATTAAGAGGTAATTGGAGCCTACACTCTTCCATAAGTGGATCAAAAATGACCTGCTAGTATTATTATTTTTATTCCAAGAATAAAGTTTGTAATGATAGAACATTTTAAAGAGAAACAGTTGAACATCAACCTTAGCTACTACTTAGTTACACTAACTATACAAAGACAAGTAGAGCAATGTTAGCTAACAATAATGTTTGCTTAAGAAAAATAGACATGCTTTCAAATAGTAATAAATGTGTAAATGTAGTCAGTAAACCAGCTATGGATTTAGTGATAGACATATGTATAATTAAATGGATCAAAAGTAAAATTATATCTGTCAGTACATACTGTATAGCTGACCGATTTATCTAATGAGAATGAACGCTTCCTATAAATTTAAAATTTCATACAGGTCATTTGACCCAAAAAGAGTTCAAACACTTAACTGTTAAAAAGTAAACAAGCTAACAGCTTTTCTTTACCTTCCAACCTGGAACGTCCTTCATGACAATCGCCTCCTCTTCTAAATTTTCCCTCAGCATCCGTAAGGTCCTGGCCAGAGGGGAAATTCAGCAGTTACATAAATGTCTTGCATGAGGGGGGAACCACCAGATTTAAAAAGTTAACATGTATGTGTGTGACTTTTTATAGTCACCGTCGGTCATGCTCTGCCTGCAGCAGGGGCATCAGAGCTATTCTGGCTTCCATCTCCTCAATTTGCAAGCGCCTGCATTGCACAAACACACATCACCATGAGTTCCAACCTGATTGTAAAATATTATACAGATTGTAAATGAACATTTAAACCCAAAGCATAACAAGAATGATCCTACCTCCTTTCTCTGTTCCACCTGAAAAGCCTCCAGTAACCAAACACCATGATACCGATGCCAATGCCGAACATGCTATATCCTGTTGAGTAAAGAATCGATTAGTGACAGTTTAAGGCATTATTGTATTGTTCCACAGATGATTTGGTGTTTGAGTTACATCCCAACCACATTATCAGGCCAGTTTCAGATAAAGATGTAATCCATTAAAGTAGTAACCTGTCTATAAGATGATGAATGTCTGCAAAGCAGTGTCTTTAAAAGTCAAAGTCAACTTTATTGTCAATTCATATGTACAAGGCACATACAGGATTAAAATTGTTTCTGTGATTACCCACAGTGAATGTAGGACAAACCTAACAAAAACAATAATTGCAACTGTGGCTTACACTATCATAAGACACGTAGATACTGATCAAACCAGTTTCACCGAGCTACTGATCAAACCAGTTTGACATATTTGATGTATGCTACAAATATTTGTTTGGCAGTGCCGCTCAGCTACACAACCACAGAGGAAGCCTCATGAAACTGACCTGTAACTCACACACAACAAACGACTCACATTTAGCCATCTGCAGATTCTAGGAAAGCAGTTTCTTTATTGTCACCAACAGTTTAGACCTAGAGAGCGAGGCGCATGTTAAGGTTGTCAAAGAAAGTAATAGCTTCTACACCTGCAGAGGTGATAAGTTGATACTCGGAGCAGCTGTTTGAGGAAATGATGCGACACAAACTACCTTTTGTGTTTTGGTTGTGTTGTTGGAAGAAACTCTTTTTTTGTCTTTTTGTTTACAGGCCAAAATAAACTTTAAATTAGGGCTGGACGATAAGGCCAAAAAATTTTATCACGATAAAAAGTTTCATATCTTTCGATATCGATAATTATCACGATAAATATGAAATCGTTATTTCTTTCGAGTTTAAAGGCTGATTTTTGATTCTGAGTGGTATGGTATGGTCAACACTTGATGTCAAACAGTGGATCACTTCACAAATCTGAGGTAGAACCTTCAAAACAATTATATGAGAAAATCTTTCTCAACAAATATGCATGAGTAAAATTAAGTAAAAGCTTTTTTCAGTCCTTTTTCCTCAACAAATAAAACATCTTAATAAAAAAATGAAGTCCTAATTGGTGAATGATTCAAGTGAATAAAATCAAACATTTAATATTTATTGAACATTTCTTATATTGTTATTGAAAAAGATTATATTGCGATAATTATTATTGTTTTATTGTCCAGCCCTACTTTAAATCTAGTTTCATTCATCAATATAATTTTAACAGCCCTTGATGTATATGGGTAACAGAATTTATTAACAGTAGTCCCAACTCACAACCACATCCAGTGTTACACCGCAGCGAACCTTCATGTTCTCTTAACCAATTAACTTAAATTCAGCTAGTGCCATTACAAAACGTTTTACAGTGCTTACAGACTGTACTTTGTTTATCAAAAGAGAGATAAACTGTAGGTAAATATGTAACCTCATTAATAACCTATTAGTCTTTTATCCATCATGTAGCGGCACAGAAAAGTGCCGGGAAGGTTAGATTGCTTCTGCATGTCTGGGTCTGGACCTCGAAATTTACCAAGTATTTCAAGTGATTTGGTTTTCCCACATAGAGTTGGGTCAGATTCCAGCTAATCTGTCCACAAATCAGATATAGCTAGTAAGTACTTTCAAATGAATTTGACTCTTCTACAATACAGACGCCAATACTGCTCTTTGTCTTCATCTAGTGGTTAAAATGCGCCATTCTCCCAGCTTTTATTTTTAAAGTAGGGGAAGAGGTCCAACAGCATGACCCTTCACTTCCAGGTCAAATTGAGCAGGTGACGTTTTGCTGTTTGATTTTACGCTCAGGGGTACAGAAGTATATTGATGCCAAAACGTTTGAGAGAGCACAAAACAAACTGAAGCATTACTCCGTCTGCAAGTGCACAGGATTTGTAAGAAGAGATTTAGACTTGTGTGCAAGGGAGGACATAATCAGGAGCATAACAGATTCTTTGAGCATGCAAGAGAAATCGTATGACTACATTTGAGAAAGCAATAGGAATTCTTGTGCTTGTAATGATCAAAGTTGCTCACGCACACTTTTGGCAGTCAGAATTCACTGAAAGCTTCACCTGTTCAATACAATACAGAGGAGCAACATCATAATAATTCAGCAGCTTGAACTTTTTTCCTTATGTGGAAAGACATGAGCCATGAAGCCCGGCTGTGGGTGTGTCCTCAAAAGTTTGCAAGTCTTGCAATCTAAAGTGTTCAGAAGCTGCTAAAAAAGTGGAGAAAATTGAAAGTAGACTCAGAAAAGAGTGCGTGCATGATCGGGATTGCATGCTCATATCTGATTCTGCCCTTATGAATCCATGCCTGCACTCTCTCAATTGTTCTCTTGCAGAATTTGATTTGTGCTCTCGCAAATGTTTTGTCATCAATAGACTTCCATACAAGGGATTTATACTGCCAAAAGTGAGTGTGAGCGAGGCAGGAGAATCCCTATTGCTGGCTCAAATGTAGTTGCACAAATCCTCTTGCATGCTCGAATCATCTGTTAAACTAACGATTCTGTCTCAGGCACAAATCTAATTCTGCTATTCCAACTCTGTGTCATCCCAAACTGAGCAGCTTTCACATTTGTTATGTGCTCTATCAATCCTTCTGACATTTGTATATTTCCAAACAGGAGGCAGACATGCCAGTACAGACCCAGTACGTATCATACTGGCAAAAGGATATGTCAAAGTATGATTAGAAAAGATTTGTTCTTTCATTTTTGGCCAGCAGGTGCACACATCTGATTATTCAGATTTAAGTGCAACACCTGCCACAGTCAAATGAAAGATATTAGATTGAAAGAAGTACATTTCAATCACAGCAACTAGGCCGTCTATGCTTAAAGCTGTTGTAATTAACGTTAACTGCATTTAATAAAAGCTCATTTAGAACAGTGTACAATGTTTGACTTAACATGCAATTAACCAAGTGCCAGTGTTAGCCAGTTAGCATGCAGCTATCATCACTGTCAATAACAATTCGCACCAAAGTGTTGTTTAGTCGCTTAAACATTTTTTCTATTACACCGTTAAAGACACATATATTGTTCCCCCATATAACAGGCATGACTGTTTCAGCATCCATCAACTTTAACATTTTTATTTTAGTACATTATCTTGTGTCTGACCCGTTAGCATTAGCCGCTGTTTAGTCAGTAGCAAGTGTCATACAACCTTGGCATACTCAAGAACTCGTGCATGAATCTGTACATTTCGGTAACTGAGTATGTAATGAAAGTACCCGAGAGTCCTCGCTTCGGTAGATTCCTCTTATAATCAAACGAGGCATAGCCTCCCGGAGGAGCCATGTCCTGCTTCACCTTGGACCCCGCCATCTTCCTCCAGCCTTCTACACAACACGATGGTGACGTCATTACGCTTTTTTCTCGTGCGTAAAAGCTTCTGCGGCGCTCTATCACCCCCACCCGTCTGGAGGAGAACTTGACCGTACTAAATCCTAATCAATTTACAAAAGTCCATATAAACCTAGACATACTATAGCTAGGGGTTTAGATGTTTTAAACTTCCCAGCTTCTAGGTGGCCAGTTTCCATATTAAATTCATCCTGTAGACGTTGCTTTCATAGTGACTGTTTTATATGAATTAACATTCACATTAACAACAGGCATATGAATTTAGTTTATTTCTGCCTACCAGTTTTATGATTTTTGTTTTATGAACTGTATATTGTCTGCCACGTAGCAGAAGGTAATTACAAAATGTCACAAATAAACCTGCCTTCTAACCAAACAAGCGCATGCAAAGCACAAATATTGTCTTTTGTGACAGATGACCTTAATGGTTCACATCTAACACTGTGGTAGAAGTAATAAGATCCTTAACTTAAATAAATGCAGCAGTACCACAGAGTGGCGTAAAAGTACAAAAGTATTGTACAGAAGCAAAATGCACTTCAAGTGTCAAAAGCTAAAGCACTAATGCATCTACATGCCCCTGTCAGTGATACATTTTGTACTTTTGTATTATTATGGGTGGTGCAAAAACATGTATGCAGGATGGCAATGTTGTAGATGGCTGAGGTATAGTTAGTATTTTAACTACTTCATATCTTGTTGGGCAGTTTAATCTGTAAAATCATATTGTATTAGCTGATCATGTTTTATGTATTTTCCTCTGAAATGTAGTGTAGCAGAAGTTTGCAGAGTTATAGCACTGAAAATGTCATACCATTAGGTTTTGTTTCTAGATGAAATGTAATACCAGTGTCATATTATCCACACATAATACATGAAAACATGTATTTAAAATTTATATTTTTTATTATTTCTGTAGGAGCTAGGAAAAAAGTAAACCAAATAAAACGTTAACATAAGTTTGTACAATGCAGATAAAATTGGGAAGTAGAGAAATTACACAATATGGTTAGGAGTACGAGATAAAGATGTTCTTGTGTATTCCAGGATCTTGGTAGCTGGGAGACCTTCCCTTTAAGAACTGATTCAGGGCTAAGTATATGTCGCAAATAGTAGGAATTATAGTTGAATATATCGGAGGCAAGATCTGTGGCTCCAGTAAGACAAAGTCAGCTCAATTTGCATTTTTTCAGCAACAGCATAACACTCAAAATAATCTTACAATGTTGACATTAATATAAAATAAGCAAATTACAGATGGTAATTACAGATGAATTGAGCAATGACACCATGCTTCTTCAGCTAAGGTGCAAAATGAACAGAGGGGTTTAAGGGTAGGCATGCTGTTAAACAAAAACAAAGCTAGAATAAACTCTTCATTTGTAGAAACCACAATATTTTGAGTGATTTTTAACAACAATTCAAAAAAAATAACTTATTGTAAATAGAAAATAAATTCAAACATTTAACTACAGGGGTGATGTACTGAACATTTACAACTTATTTTGTTTTTGTTTAAAATAAATGGTGTATTTTGTTATATGTGAACTTTTGGGTATGATTATAACCATTCAAGTGTCAAAAGGTTGGGTCAGGTTGACCCACATCATGGCAGAGCACTCCTTTTTATCAAAGTACTCAATGCAGACATAACCTCTTATCACACCATGACTGAACCACCCAGTCTGGAGGACACAAGTACCCAGGGAAGCCCTTCAAGTATATGTTTTTTCTTTGCCCCACTATAATCAAAACGGTTTCTGCACAATTACCAAAGAACAGCGCATCTCAAAATAAACAATACAAAATAATAAAACTAAAACAACAATCATACAAAAGGTAAGGAAGGAACGTTTCTTCACTTTAGGAGATTGTATTTGCTTAACAGTCCTCCGGGGGTTGCTGTTGACCGTATTATTGGAACTGAGGAACTCTAACAAAAACTACTAATGAATAGTAGAGTACGGTTTCAATTATTTCCATGTATTTGCAGTCTGCGAGATCGACGAGCGAGAGGGGATCATGTCCAGCAGGTACTCCCTCTGACGAGCGTCGACGGTGGCTGACGTCTTGTGACCTGTCAGGCTGGGGTTCACATAGGCCATAGTGACTCCTGTGAACATGCAAGAGAGAAGCAGGTCAAGGTGAGGAGCAAGCTGCATGCTGTCAGTTGTGGACGTTTTTGAGTTGAATAAGAAAACACATTTGACATAGCCACCTGTGTCCCCACAACACACAGACAGACACAAAGAGAGAAAAAAGGAAACATTCTACTCTAAAGGTATAGTAGAAGCACCAGGAAAAAATTATGACACTACCAAACTAAGGGAATAAAGTAGGAAGATGGAGATCACTTGCAGGGAGAGAACTGGAGAGTGGGATTATCTTGTCCGAAAACATTTCCTCCCGCATGTTTTGCAACTGTATTTTTTCTCTAGTGTGTGACACTATACTAGATTGCAACTTTTGTGTGAGATTCCTTAACACTACACAAAAAAAGACGGCACTAGGATGTTCAAGGATTGCTTTTGGACCAGACAGGAATTTTGAATGAGAGCAGATGTCAGGTGCCAGAGTTGGGCTGGTATTAATGTGAGTCTACCTGTATTGCTGTTGCTCTGCTTCTTCCATGCAGTGGATGAGGAACTACCTCCGCTGAAATTCCTGCCGCCGTCGATTCCACTGCTGCTCACCTTTGAACTCTGGACAGAGCGGTGGGAAACATGGTCATGCTTACCTGGCCGGCTGACCAAAGCTGCAGCCGCCACCGCGCTCTGCAGCTGGGAGGAGGAGGAGAAGGAGTGGGGGACGCCCCTCAACCCCACTGATGAGACACCATGGGACAGCTGGCCATGGGAGCTCTGAGGTGAGTTAAAGACACAGAGGGCAGTTCTGAGATAACAGCAGCATTGACCGCCCAAGTTATTTCTCTTTGAAAGATAAACTGATTCTAACCTGCTTGATTGAGTGACGGTGAAGAATGTTGGCTCCTCGGTTGGCCTGGTGGTGGTGCTGGAGGGACGACGCTCTGGCCTGAGCCTGCTTCAGCTGCTGAGACACCAGCTGCTCTACTTTCATCGCTGAAGAGGCAGATGAAGAGGACGAGGAGCTACTGTGGGAGACTGGTGAGGACGTCTGCTGCATAATATGCTGCTCTATTTCCTGCTCTTGTTGCAGTGCTTTGACAAATGCAGCTTTCAGCCTATTGGTATGCTCAGCTTTCAAAGCCCTTTTTTGATTGGATGACATGCAGTGTTCACAGAGGACTGCCCCGCCTTTTGTCTTGTCCTGCCTCCAGCGGCAGGTGAAGTCAGTGTTGCACTGGGTGCAGATGAAGGGGTCTCTGACATTGGGCTTTGACAGTGCTACACCTGTCTTTCCTGGATGGAGAGAGATGGGAAACCAGAGGCACTGAATGAAAACGGACAGAGGTGCTCGTATGGTGTCAAAGAAGTAGTTAGAAACTACACATAGTTCTAGCTACACATAGACAATATTTTTTTTTCCATAAAAATGGGCAGGACAATTTTTAACACCTGTTTGAAACAGATCCAACATCTAATCCTAACATCTAGGGCTGAAACGAATGGCTATTTTCATTTTTGATGAATCTGACAGATGTCACAAAATTGCTTCTTTTGTCCGACCAGCAGTCCAAACCTAAAGATATTCCGTTTACTATCATGCAAAACAAAGAAAAACCTAACCTAACCTATAACCTAAAATCTACTATATGTAAACAAAAGCCATGAAAAGAAACAGAAAACCCACGCACCTCTGTGAATGGTATCCAGCAGATTCTGTACCACTTCTTCCAGTCCCACCAGGTAGATAAACTCATTATTGGCTGCAGAGGGCAGAAAGTTAAACTCTGGGGCAGGGGGCTTGGGTGGGGGAATCTCCAGGAGGGTCTTCTCCAGTTGTTTCCGCAGGGCTAGTTTAGCTGCAGCTTGGCGGCTGGCTGGAGAGTCATTCATGCTAACCACAGACATGCCGCTGCTTCCTGAAGAAGAGCCCTTCAAACTGGATGGTGAGGCCTTTGAAAATAAGCACAGACGAGAAGAAATAAGACAGGTGTACTGTAAACATCCAGGTAAGATCAGAATATCTTTGACTCTCTGAGCAACACAGAAATTACCAATGTTGATTAATTATAATAATAATAATAATCTTCATTTGTAGAGCACTTTTCAAAAACAAGTTACAAAGTGCTTCAACAAGTGCAAAGACAACAATACAATATCCAAAAGACAACAATACAATATCCAAAGACAACAATACAAGCAAGAAAACATTGAAAAGACCAAAATACACGGTTAAGATAAATATAAAATAAGTAAAATAGAATAAAATAAAAGGGATAAAATAAAGTCAAATAAGATCGGCCGACCTGATTTCCTCGGGCAGGCTGTTCCAGAGCCTCGGGGCCCTGACAGCAAACGCTCTGTCCCCTTTAGTTTTCAGTCGAGACTCTGGAACAGACAACAGACCTCTGCCCGA